CAAATTAGTTATCAGTATAGGGACTTCCAACTGGAAGATAAGCTCGCATTAAATTTTGGAAACCGATACCAATGAAAAACGTATTCTGAGAATACGTTTTTCAAATAATAATTTATTTAAAAAACGTATTCTCAGAATACGTTTTTCATTGAAGTTGGCTCCTTTACGGAGCCCACCGTTGTCTCCATAGCATTTTCACCGATACCGAATGTAAATGTAACTAACTTCAGAAGCTCACGTCACGACCTGCGTCACGCTGGCGTATCGATATCCTGCCACCTGTCTCATCATACCGATTGGACACAGCCCGATCACCACCTTAGCTTAATAAAACCAACCTCCGGCTTGGTCGGCTGGCGCAATAAATTCTTCGGGCCCGAGTGACTCAACAGCTCGCCGATGGAGCCGCCATCAGTAGGACAATCATCGCTCTCAGCTCCATGGCCCACGCACCGCTGGAAATAGACACGTGTCGCTTTACAGCTGGGCGTTGAGGGTAAGACTCGAGGGTCAACGCCAGTCCATTGATTGCAAAAACCACAGTTGACTTCAATCTCATGTCTCTTTCCTTGTGCTTTGTAGTTTGAGAAAATTAATAATAATGATAGCGGATTAAATTATTTGATACCGTATAAAATATTGAATTACTAGTTTTTTATTAATCAATTCAAATAGTAGGTTACGCAAAGTTTGATAAAAAATTATTTATTTGCTATGAAAACAATTAAGATTACAATTTTTATATTTTAAAAAGTTTTCATATTGAGCATTTCCAAAATTATTCTTTTGAACTTAAAAGATTATTCCAAATCTAACAAACAATTAAATTAGAGATTTTGATTAGTCAAGTTTGTAAATCATCTTAAATTTCTAATTGAATCCTAAAATATTGATTACTATCACGCTGAGCTTTATATATATAAAATAAAATATATAAAGGTATTACATCATTTTGAGAAGACCAATAGGGCCCAAAAGAATTGTAATAATTAAATCTTGAAACTCATTGTTTGGATAAAATATTTTAATTTATTTTCTTTATTAGTTCAATGTCTGGTATAATTATACGTTTAATTTCACATGTCTTTAGAAAAAAATTGCACTCCATCCTTTATTAGTTCAATGTCTGGTATAATTATACGTTTAATTTCACACTTCTTTAGAAAAAAAATTGCACTCCATCCTTCTAATTAATGACATAACTTAGAAGTCTCATGTAGTTTATGCTACTCTAGTCAAAAGTTTAAATCTTATCTAACAAAGATAACACCTTTTGCATTTTGTCATCAATTGAATATTTTAAGCCAATATGAATGAATTAATATTATACTCCATTACCCGGATCAAAAGTTACACTATAGAGGCAAAAAATTTCTCCGACATTTTATATATTCCAATTCGATCCTTTTGTATTAATTTCAATATGGATTTTTCATAATTCATAATTGAATTGTAAAACAGGAATATGTTGTGAATAAAACATATGGTAAATTGTAAAAAGTTGATTATGAAAAAGCAAAGCACGGGGTAATTTAGAAGCGAAGCAAAGTTCAAGTCGAACTCATCAACAAAGTGACAAAACTCGAGCTCAACAATCAAAATGAGTGGGACCCTCTCTTCTATTTCTCAATTCTCACACTAATTGGTTATGAGTTTATAAATTGCATTGCACCCCTTTTAAATAAGATTAATTAAAAAAAAAAAAAGATTATAAAAGAAATTGACACCCATATAACATGTCATACTTCAAGAAAATTGTGAATAAATATATATATTTAAAAAAATACATGCAAACAATTGAATTTTTTATGAGGAGAGAATCAAGGAAATGATTGGTATACATTCAAACATTTTGATATTTCTGAAAAAATAAGTTGAAAAGGAAAAAATAAAATTTCTGCACGAATTAAATAAACCGAACTTACGCAAGAAAATTGAAAAATAACACATAAAAAATAAAATATACCATAAACCAGACTAGTGTAATTTTTAATGTCTTTTAAACATTTAATTAGTATTTTTTTTATGTACATATTATCTATTTATGTGTAAATTATCAATTTATAATTAATTTTATACACATAAATTGTTAAATATGTAGATAATAGTAAAATTTGACATGTAGTAGATATTTTAAATTTGAGAATGAATAAAAATAGGTAAGAGAATGTATGTTGTAGCTTGAGTGGTTGACTTGATTCGGAATTTAATGTGAGTCGGCAATTGAGATTAACATATACTCATGCGCGCTTTGTATGTGTAACAGTGTGTGTTTAGGCTTCACAGTTCACACAGTGGGTTTTGAGTTAATACCGATCCAAAAGCTCTACCTTTTTGCATCGGGTGTACACCTCCAACACGGCAGAGAGAGTTCACCATTATCATCTTCTCTGTGTGGGGTTTAGAGAGAGGAAGTGGGGTGCAATTTTGTAAAATACCCGGAAAGAGAATAAGCTTGTGAGGTGGGGAAAAATAATAAGAAAAAAGCGCTTAGCGTCAAAGAAAAGATTTTTCTCATGAGTTTCTTTGACCTCATTCCATACTAGGTTCGTCTTTTCTCATCTTTATGCTTTTTTTAATAAAAAAAATTGTAGTTTCGTGATATTATTAGAGTTTTTGTACTGTTCGAGGTTTTATGCTTTTGTTTGAGTTCTGAAGGTTGTTGATTTGGTATTTACTGATATAATTCAGTAGAATAAGGTATGGGTTTTGGGTTTTAATGGTGAATTTGATGATTAATTAGTTGAATTTTGATGGGATTTGTTTTCAGTGAAGTGGGTTCTTGTTTCCATCTCTGCGAGTTCTTTTAATTTCATTATCTTGCTATTTGATTGTCCACTTCTTTCAATGCCCTGTTTTGGTAATTGAATAT